TCTCATTTTGTATATAAGTTTAAAATAAATTTTAAAAATTTACCCAAAAAAATAACACCACAATCAAACATGGCACTAAATATGGTGTGCCTAGTATGATTTGGAAATTCAATAAAACTGGCATCTTATTATAATTTTTAAAAAAATTTGCATAAGCACAAAAATATCTAAAAATTTTAGAAATCAAGATCAGTACCACAAGATAAATGTGAAACTCATTGAGGGTGTGTTGAGGTTATAAAACATATAAACAAGAATTCCAATTGAAAATATAGCAGTATTTCCTATTTTACATTTGGTCATCACAACAAGTTCAATGACATTCCTTTCTAAATGGAAGGCAATGTGATGATTTACCACCAAAAAGTGAAAAGACACCAAAGCACAATCGTTTATTCAAGTAAGCCAGCTGGATCCCAAGATGGTGTCGAAGGGTGCTGAATCATGAGCCTTTGACTTTCCTCTTAAGCCTCTGATATATTCATGTATCATTACTTCCCATGTCCAAGGGCAGCAGGCATCAGTGGATCCTCAGCAAAACTTCTTCAGGGTGTGATTTGATGATGGATCGTTGTTGTATAGGGAGATAAAGCTCAGTTTCTGACATTACTTGTCAATAAAGCCTTGTTTTTGCTTTTCTGACCTTTGAAATTTTATGGGATGCTAAATGCCCAGGGTACACTTGGCTTAGCTTCTAATGCCTTTCTGATGTCAAGAACAATCTTGGCAGAATAGGTTTTTTACGTATCACCTACAGTGGCTTCTGGCACAGGGGGGCTGTTTTCCTTAAAAGAGGCTTATATCGTTTCTCATATTTAGCCCAAGAATGATCGCATTCTGTAATGGGTGGGAGGCAGGTATCTTGTCATAGCTTGCCCAGAGGAAGGATTGAGAATGATCTTGGATGAAGTTAACTGTTACATTAAGTGTAGAATTTCTTTAAAAAGACAAAGAAAAGAAAAATAACAGTTGAACTTTTAATTGGCCAGCTAAGAGACTGCAAGGGGTTATGACCTACTTCAAAGTAAACTGATTACTCAATGTGCAATCAGAAAGGGATTACAGTAGACTACATAATACAAATGTTTCTTTTATGAAATCCCACAAAATGAAATGTATTGGCAGTTCTGACATACAGTAATAAATACATCCATTTTTTTAAGGCAATTGGGGTTAAGTGACTTGCCCAGGGTCACACAGCTAGTGTCAAGTGTTTGGTCTGAGGCCAGATTTGAACTCAGGTCCTCCTGACTTCAAGGCCGGTGCTCTATCCACTGTGCCACCTGGCTGCCCCTAAATGGATCCATTCTTACACAAAGACCTGGACCATTATTTAGTACCTCAGATTGTGAGATTGGTCACAGAAGTCACAAAACTCCTGCCCCCCCCCAAAAAAAAGGCTAACTAGAACACCTATGTTTCCTGAAAAGAAGTAACCACGTGAATACAATTTAACAGAACTTTAAAAAATTTTTATTTTTAACATTTTTGTTTGAGTTCCAAATTCTCTCCTTCCACCCATTGAGAAGCAATGCCACTCAACTTCAGTGACTCCGGAGGAAAGAGTGAGAAAGTCAAGACATCACCCTTGTGATGTCATTGGTCTTGTTCAAGAATGAACAATAATATATTAGTTATATATATGAAATCGTGCAAAAATATTTCCATATTAGCCAAGCCATGTTGCAAAATTTTAAAAGCAAGAAAAACAAATGAAAAAATTATACTTCACTTTGTACTCAGTTCATCAGTTCTCTGGAATTGTAGCATTTTTCACCATGAGTTCTTTTGAATTGTCTTGGATCACTGTATTGTTCAGAGTAGCTAAGTCTTTCACAGTTGATCATCATTACAATGTTGCTCTTACTGTATACAATTATCTCCTGGTTCTGCTCACTTTATTCTGCTTAAATTCATGTAAGTCTTCCCAAGTTTTTCTGAAGTCATTCTTTTTAATTTTCAAAGTAGATTATTGGAGGGTAGGGGGAGAAAAATCTCTCCTCACCTTTGTGGTAGTCTGGGTCTTAGGAATACCTTTCCTTCTCCACCATAATGAGAGTAGCTGAAATAACTGGGCAATGTCCTGAGACATTGGTTTCTGTGCAGGTAGATGGTGTAGAGTCCCTGTAGCCTTCCAGGCTAATTGCTAGTGGTCAGGGATACCAGTCCTACAATTGTCAGGACACAGAGGCTATCACGTCCAAGATAAGGAAACCATATCCTAGGAGTTGTGATTTGCTACGGTAGTTAGTAGCAGGGTTGAAGCCAGGACCTCTCACTCATGGAACCAGTGCCCTTTCCACTGGTCATGTGTTGAATATTTTTTTTTCCATTTTAATTTTTTTAATTTTTTAAAATTAATTCATTTTGATTTATCAATAATCACTTCCATAAGCTTTTGAGTTTTAAATTTTTCTCCCCTTCCCTCCTCTCCTCCCTCCCCAAGATGGTGTACGATCTGATATAAGTTATACATATTCATTCCTATTAAACGTATTTTCACATTAGTGATGTTGTAAGGAAGAATTAGAACCAATAGGAGGAGCCACCAGAAAGAAGAAACAAAACACAACAGAAGAAAAAAACATAGCAAATAGTATGCTTCGATCTGCATTCAAACTCCATAGTTCTTTCTTTGGATGTAGATAGCATTTTCCATCATGAGACCTTTGGAGATGTCTTAGATCCTTGTATTGCTGAGAAGGGCTAAGTCTATCAATATTAGTCATCGTCATGTGTTGAATATTTAGGAAGAAAAGGGGGAATATATGTTTAACTCTGGATTTTTCTGGTTAGAAAACAGGGTTTTAGCACCTTCCAGACTAAGGGACAGATTAGCAGGCGGAGCATGGATAAAGGTCATGTAGCTTAAAAAACAAAACCACAACTCTTAATGGAAACAAGTTTTTCAATTCTTAGCTATCTTGACTTTAGTTTGGCTGGTATATAGTCTCCTTTGCTGCAATAAATGCAGGCAGAGGGAAGGAGTAGTTATTTTTAAGAAGACAACCTAATGATCTGGCACTTTACTTGGTTAAGCAGAGGTGAACAGGTGGAATGATAGCCTGAAAATCCTTGACTGCTATCTCCAAGGCTAGTGAGGGATACTATCTCTACTGGGCTGCCTGCTTTTCTTCCAGCTTTAATTATCCTTGGTAACTCCATCTCCATTTCCTGCCCAAGTTGTCAGGCTACTCTTCCTGACTATCTGAGGGTCCTGCCTCCTTTTCACCCCCCATTCCTGGCACTGGAGTCTTTCCAAATTTGAAGAAGAAAGTTTGATAAGGAGTACATCATAAAGAGATACATAATGCCTCTGATTTAGTGGAAAGATTATTGGATTTGGCATCATAAAAGCTGGGTTCCAATTCTGGTTGTGTTCTTGAGGAATTTACTCCCTAGGTTCAGTTCATTGGGCTACAGGTAAAATAACCACTGAACTCACTCCTGCCTCTAAGCCAGAGGTTCACAAACTTATTTTGTCTACTGCTCCCTTTAAAAAAATTACTTAGTGCCCCCTCTCCAAAATCTACTTTCTTTAGCCCTTTAAAAGTTTTTTGGAATTTCCATCATTTCAAAAGAATGCTTTTTTTAAAAAAAATGATGCACCTTAAATTTGATAATTTATTGTAAATTTGTGTTTTTTTCCTGCATTTAAATATATACTATCATATTGTAAACAAGTCACTACCTGAACATATTCCTCCATGCATGCTGGACTTCCCCACAATGGGCCACAACACTTGCCTGTTAAGACCTGTCAGAGGACTTGACCTATTATAACTTGCATTTGTGTGTTTATTTGGAAAATAATGTAATCACTATGACTTGAACTCCATTATACAACAGATGAAACATGTATAAAGGGTTTTTCAAAATTGTCTTCTCTTTCTCCTTATGCTTCCACTGCCCCCTTATTTTTATGCAACATCCCACCCCCTTCAATTGCTCCTGAGGCTACTACCACCCCTCCCCTTGGATAGTTCCAGTGCCCCAGGGAGTATGCCTACTTTGAGAACCTAAGCTTAGTAAGTAAACCAAAGCCAATGATTGTTATCCTCCCATCCATGCTTGATCTCTTTCTTTTTTGATACAGTATAATCACCTATCATGATTTGAACTCCAATGTGGGCCTTTCCCACACCAGTCCTGTGAGGCAGGTAGTGTATTACTGTTTTGATTTTACAGATGAAGAAACAGTATCAAAAGAGCCAAAGGAACAGCTCAAGTTCACACAACTAGTAAATTTCATGGGGCAGGGTATTTTCATCCAGGTAAGCTGAGAAGCGGTTATATGTAGCATAACCTAGGGCCACTTACTTCCCTCATCAAGTTGTGGTTTTTCACCTTCCAGTTATTCTGGAAAGTGAAAAACAAAATATAGCATTCCATTTTACCTTGGCTTTCCTAATGCTTCTTGGAAATCCAACCCCCCCCCCCAATTAAACCTTGACTAAACTTGGTCCACCAAGTTGTTAAATTATGTCTGACTCTTCCTCTCTTCTTGACCCTGTGGACCATGGCACCTCATGTCCTTCTATCCTCCATCTCCCAAAGTCTATCTGAGCTCACAGTCATTGCTTCCACTATCTATCCATTTCATCCTCTGCCATCCTCTTCTCCTTTTACCTTCAATCTTCTGCCAACATCAGGGTCTTTTCCAATGAGTCCTGTCTTCTCATCATGTAGACAAAGTATTTAAGCTTCAGCTTCAGGATTTGTACTATTCTCCAAGAGAGGAACTATATCCAAAGAATGGTAGGCTTACCCAATTCCTCTCACGAACTGGGTTGCTCTTTTAAAAAAGACAAATGGTAGCTCAAAATCAAAGCCTATGCTTCTTCCTCTACCCCCCCTCCCCAACCCCTCAGCATGTAATGGAAATGAGAACTAAGTTTTTCCCCCCTCCCTGCACCTTCAGCTGACTACAGCACAGCAACAGGAGAGAATGGGACAGATCAGAGAGGAGGGAAGGGAGAAGGGGGAGGGGTAAAGAAGGAGGGGAAGGACTCAGTCCAAACGCCAGTAGCTATTATAAAGACAAACCTAAATCTTTCCCAATCAGTCCGGGAAAGGAAGAAAAGGAGATAGAAAGAAGGTGGCTCACAAGTAGAGAGGAAACCTCCTCTACTAAAGAAGTCCTGGTCTGGCACAGGCGTAGGTCAGCCCCCGGCCGGTTCCTGCTGCTGTGGAATCCCCAGAGCCAAGTTCTCCATGAACTTGCAAAGGGCTGAGTGTCCCCTTTCCCAGCGGCCACAACGCGGCCCCCGGGGCTCGGACAGAGAAGACGAGCTGCTGGATATCCAGCCCGAGGAGGAGGAAGAAGAGGAGGAAGAGGAGGAAGAGCGGTATCTGCGGCGTCCGCAGCCCAACCCGCCGAAGGCACCGGAGAACAGCGGCTGCAGCAGCACCCCGCCGGGCACCAGGGACGGCGCGGACGGCGGGCGCAGCATCCCAGCCCCGGACGTCCCGGGCGAGGTCGGGGAAGGGGGTGCACCGCTGGCGCCGGCCCCGGCGAAGCCGCCCTACTCGTACATCGCGCTCATCACCATGGCCATCCTGCAGAGTCCGCACAAGCGGCTCACGCTGAGCGGCATCTGCGCCTTCATCAGCGGCCGCTTCCCCTACTACCGCCGCAAGTTCCCGGCCTGGCAGAACAGCATTCGCCACAACCTCTCGCTCAACGACTGCTTTGTCAAGATCCCCCGGGAGCCGGGCCACCCGGGCAAGGGCAACTACTGGAGCCTGGACCCCGCCTCCCAAGACATGTTCGACAACGGCAGCTTCCTGCGCCGGAGAAAACGCTTCAAGCGCCCACACCCGGGCGCGCAGCTGTGCTCGAGCCTGCACCCCGCGGCGTCCGCGGGGCTCCTGCTCTGCCCGGCCGCCGCCTCAGTCACGCCCGTCCCTGCCCGGCTCCGGCGGGGCCCCCTGCTGCAGCCGCACCCGCTGCGCTACATCGTGCTGCCGGCCCCCGCCCGTCCCGTGTCGCCGCCGGGAAAAGGGGGCGCTCCGGGCCGGGAACCCGGCGGCAGGGCCAAGGGCTCCTCGTTCAGCATCGACAGCATCATGCAGGGAGCCCGGGGAGGAGGCGCTGCGGGACCCCCAGCGGCCCCGTGGGGTCACTGCCACCTGTGGCACGCCCCTGCCGTGGCCGCTTCCCCGTGGCTGCAAGTGTCCGCGGCCGCCCGGACGCTATTGCAACCTCAGCCGGACACCGTGATCGGCTGCTTACCCAGTAAGAGCTCGTTCCTCGGTCAGCCCTTGGCCACTGCGCCATTGGGGTGCCCATCCGGAGCGGGCACCGGGCCGCTCTCCCTGGCGACTCCCACGGGCGGGGAGGCGAGAGCCCCCGCTTTCTGAGCCACCTGCCGGCCGTGCCCCGCGTCCCCCGACGGCGAGAGCTTCAGAGGCTGCTTGAAGTTTGTCTCTTTCTCCCTTCACCCCCATCCTGTTCCAGGATCGTGGAAAGAAATTTGGAAAACGCTCTTAAAGTCATTTAGACCTGTCCCCCCTATTTTATGGATTCGTAAACTGAGATCATCGTCTATGCCAGCTTCAAGATTACTACTTGCTTATTAAAAATTCCCTTCCCGACTCTCTAGTGTTCTTGTTGAGCCTAGCAGTAAAGCACCTCTTTATTTATAGGTCGATATATATATGTCGATATATATATATATATACATATATATGTATATATGTGTATATATACATATATATATATAAAATCTTTCACTCCGCAAACCGTTTACAAACGATACGACCTGATGTTGCTTTTCTAGGGCAACCTTGGAGTACAGAGCCGATTGCACGGAATGTGACTTGACTTGGTGGGCTTTCCTCGTTCAGATTTGGTTCCAGTGACCAAATGTGGGATATGCACTTTGCATTTTTCTAAGCTGCTTAAAGATTTTTTTTTCCTTCTGTAATTGAAAGAAAGAAAAACTTCAAAAACAAACAAACTTCCAAGCGTACAAGTTTCTTCTTCCAAGCCCTCTTTGAACCACGAGGCCATTTTTTCAAAGTGTATGATACTTAGCCCCTCTGTTTCTTCCAGTCACCCATCTGTAATATAACTAGAATTTTTGAATTTTGGAGTATTTATTTCTTGTGAAAGTGTTTTCGATATCATACATACACGCGGAGATAATAAACTTATCTAATAAAGTATCATCCTCCATTCTTTTCTGTTTCATTGCTTCTTGCCTTATAATAAAAATCCTGTTCTTTCCCTTCAGTATTCTACTCCAGGTTTAAAAGAAAAAGTTACAAAATTTTAAAATATTTGTTCATTCTAACAGAGATTCCAGACAATTCAGGTTACGATTTGAAGCACCTATTCAAACATTACTATTTAAAACGATGTCTATTTAAGTAATCATTTGAAGTTTGTGTTATTTATGAGAAATATTAAGGAATATTTTAAGGAAATTTGAAAATATTTATCTCCAAAGACCTCGGGTTTTTGTTGTTGTTGTTGTTGTTTTCGTTTTTGCAAGCTACAATTTGGGCTTAATTTGGATTTTGGAAGCTGGCATTTATTGGGAGACAAGAAGATCCATTTTCTTTTCTTAAAGTATATGGGGTAGGTTAATTTATCCTTTTCAAAAATCAGCTCCCTACTGCTGACAATTTTCTAAGAAAAGGTCTGGGGACAGTGACTATACCATTCAAATTGTTCTTGCCCTGCAGGCATTTCTAATTTTTTAAAAAGTTATGTACAGGTCAGGTTATCTTTCCCAATCTCCCAATTCCCTTCTTTTTAAAAAGAAGTTTATTAAAAATGAAGAAATAAGCTTACACTTACAGCTACTGTAATTTCTCAATCAGCTTTTTCACAAATGAAAGAGGTAACTGGAGTTTCTCTGTAGTTTAGCATTTATTTAATCTTAGGATGTGGAATCCTATTCCCATACGAAGATGCTTTGACTCTGATCATAAGTTCCATGCCAATCACCAATTTCTTTGTGTTCCCTTTAAAATTTCCGCAGCCCCGTTAGTACAAAGTTTCTGCATTATGTCTATTATCTCTATCATCACATCAGGTTTCAAATACCACAATTTCCTTTTTCAGAAAGAAGCAAATCTTTAGTTTCTCCTTTAGTGAATGGAAAGCTGGAGGGGATTTGAAAGGTTTTCCTGCACTGTGTCTTTTTATATGGGTTGCCAGGTAAAAGGATTTCATTTAAAGGAATGGAATATCAGTTTATAGGGCAAGGGGAAACCAGAGATTTGTCCTGGAGAGATGGTCTGTCCCCAGATATCGACATAACAGCAACCCACCCATTTTGCAAGAAGTCATTCTAACGTGATAAAATTATTCCATATCCTTCCCCGAAGAATTTTGCCCTCTAGGAGAAGAAAAAAAAATACCACCTTGCAAAAGAAAGCTACAGTCTTTTCTTATAATCTTAAAATTAAACGGACAATTAGCACTTGATGATATTGTCCTGAAAAGCTCTTTCCAGCACCAGAGGAATCAAGCTACTTCTATTTAGTAGGTAAGTTTCAATATCATATTTCACTTTCCCAATTTTTCCTCCTCTTCTCTCTAAGCCTTGGTAATTTTCTTCAGTCTTCCATAGCCCAAATTATCAGGAATTGCAAAGACAGGAGAGAGCCAATGCCACTTTTTTCCTACACACCTTTCCCTGTGCTTACTACCCTTTAAAATATGACTATTCTTTTGTTTGATCTTGCAAAAATTTCTCTAATTTGTTCAAATTCCATCTCCTCATCTTATTTTTCCTTATAAGTTGTATCTCTCCCTTAAGATACACACAAATTAGTTCAGCTAGGGGATTACTACACCTGAGGCTTTCAAAATGTCGGTCTTCATAACGGAACCAGCATTCCTCTTCAAGATCCTCTCATTTCATAGCCTTAGCCTAGACAAATGAAAGACTTAATAAAGAAGATCTCTGCTCCTCCCACCCCCTACAAATCCCAACTTTTCATTATGTATTACTCCCAGCTCTTCCCTTACCTATTTTCCTCCAACAATGTCTCCAACAATGCCCATTGAAATGCAAAGACTTTTACTGCCTTTAACCAGAAATTCCAAACTTGTGATTATCCCACTTGAGGGACAAATAAGCCACCCACTCATCCCCAAACCTCCACCACCTTTGGCCTACTTTTGTAGATTGTCCTCTAGGAAATGTGAAAGTTATCGGGAAGGAAGGTGTAACACATCCTCTGTAAACATTCTTTAGCTAGTGTGGTTTTTGAAATTTTTCTTCTTTACCTCAAGTTGTAATTTTAAACTTGGCATTTTGCAAGCAATCTTTTCCTCAGCAAAAATTATTTGAAAATTTAAATCTGCATGTACAATCAACAATCATTTATTAAATACCTACTAGGCACCAAGTAGGTACTCTGCTAAAAGATGAGAATACAAATACAAGGAATAAAACAAAGCCTATTTTCAATGAGCTTGCATTTTATGTGAGAGATAAATTCTTATATAAATACATATTGAATAAATATAAAGAGAATAAACACATATTAATGCAAAGTAGGTAAATAGAAGATAGTTGGGGGAGGAGAACACTGTGAAGAAGGGCTCATGTAGATGACGATGGTGCCAGAATTGAGTCTTGAAGGATGTGAGGGAAATCTTATGAGCAGATGAGAAAGAGGTAGTGAGTGCCTTCTAGATGTGAGGGCCAGCCAGTGGACAAAGCACTAGTGAGAGGGAAAATGGGCTTGTTTGGCTGAATTGTGGACTGCAGGAAGGAGGGGTGGGTGTGCAGTAATATATAATGGAGCTAGAAAGAGAATTTACATTTTATCACACAGGCAACAGGGAGTCACTGGAGTTTACTTATTAAGGCAGAATCTACTTAGAGAGCAGGGACCTGGTTCTCTCCCATCTTTAAAAGTCTATGATGGACATTTAATAACAGTTTACCAAGACAGTGAAATGCCCAGATGGGGATTTGATGCTACTGAGAGTAGCTAGAAATCAGTACCAGGCAAGGGAAAAGGATTGCCTTGTGACCCTCCTTGGTGTTCTCCCTCTTCCTGCACAGGATCAAAACCTCTGACATGTAGGAAAGGTTCAGGTTTAGGAGACCCAGCTTGCAGGGTGTTCTAGCCTATTCCATCTTCTTTCTCTTCCTCCTTCCCATATTCTCCCATGATAGTACCTCAAAGATCCTTTATGCTCCTCTGAAGCTCACAGCTCAGGTGTGGGAACTCAGATCCCCTCTGCGTGAATGTTCTCTCCCACTTCTGGAGGGGAGGAGAGGAAAAGAGAAAAAGGGAGAGGGAGAGGAGGGGAGGAGAAAGGTGAGAAGAGAAAGGAGCATACTGTAGATAGCAAAGTAAAATTAAGCTATCTTAACCCCTCAGCTTCCCAGACCTGGGAGGTCTATGTTGGGAAAAGAATACCAGAGAATCAGACTTAGAGTCACCTTCAGTGTCCATCTAATCCAATTTGTACTAACCCATACTCAGGCAAGAATTCTCTCTGCAACACATTGGTCAAGTGGTCATCCAGCCTTTGCCTGAAAGATCTCCACCTCCTTTTCTGATCATAAATCTCTCTCTGTTTCTGTCTATATAGAATCACACATATACATACATGTATACATGCTACACACACACACACACACATATATTTTTCTCTGCCATCAGAGAGTTCAGATTTGTCCCAGGTAGCCAAGGAATTAACTAGAACTTTATAAAGCTTGTTCATAATGTTCCCCAGTGCAATACAATTAGCTAGCCAGTGATAGAGCTAAGAGTAGAAACTGCTCTCAGTTTTCTCAATGTAAAATTTTTTAATGAAAAATGGTTTCAATTTTTTTCTCAATGTAAAATTTCTGTAAAATGAAGGGGGTAGATGAGATGGCTTCTGAAGTCCCTTCCAAATCTAGAGTTATGGTCCTAAGATTCTATGAATAGAAGGTAATTTTTTTTTTTAGGCAATTGGGGTTAAGTGACTTGGCCAGGGTCACACAGCCAGTAAGTGTCAAGTGTTTGGTCTGAGGCCGGATTTGAACTCAGGTCCTCCTGACTTCAGGGCCAGTGCTCTATCCACTGTGCCACCTAGCTGCCCCCCAATAGAAGGTAATTTTGAAGGAAAGGCAATTAGCATCAGGGACAAGGCATCAGAAAACGCTCCATGTAGATAGGTGGGCACCACATTGTCCCCAAAGTCTCCAGAACCAGAGGATTCCTTACCAAACCCTCCTTCTCTGCATTGGCATAAAAGGTTCCATCAGATGGAACCACTCTTAATGCATATTGATGGCCCAACTGATAAAGACATCTCATACAAGTACATTATAGACTTGGAGTTATGTGGATGAAAACCACTATAGATAAGTGGATAGGTAGATTGATTGCAGAAAAATACTATTTAAACACTATCTTCTGCATAAAGCTTTTCCTGATCCCTCCTACAAAAGCTAGTGTGACCCACTTTTATATTTACTTTTATATTAACTTTTATATTTAACTACTTTGTATACATTTGTATTCATTAACTCGTTCCTAGTGTAGTAGTAGTACTAGTGGTGGTGGTGGTGGTGGTGATGGTGGTAGTAGTAGTAGTAGTAGTAATAGTTGTTGTTGTGTAGTATGTGCACAGACACAGACAGCAGTGAGAGAAAGTAAGAAGGAGGGAGAGAGAATGATCAAGGAATCAGAGAAGGAGGGAAAGGAGAGAGATCAAGGAGACAGATAAGGAATCAGAGATGAGATAGAGAGCAATATTAGAAAGAGAAATATCTGGGAATCAGGAGAGAGAGAGAGAAAGAGAGAGAGAGAGAGAGAGAGAGAGAGAGAGAGAGAGAGAGAGAGAGAGAGAGAGAGAGAGAGAGAGAGAGAGAGAGAGAGAGAGAGAGAGAGAGAGAGAGAGAGAGAGAGAGAGAGAGAGAGGAGAGAGAGAGAGAGAGAGAGAGAGAGAGAGGGAGAGAGAGAGCGCAATATCAGAGAGAGCCAGAGAGTGGGGGAGTGGGGAAGAACGAGAAAAAGAGAGAGCAATATCAAATGGAGAGAGAGAGAGACAGAGAGAGACAGAGAAAAAGTGAGAGAGAGAGAGAGAGACAGAGAAGAGAGAGAGAGAGAGAGAGAGAGAGAGAGAGAGAGAGAGAGAGATGAGCTACTGCAGAAAAAAATAAGCAGAATCAGAAAACAATATCCATAGTCA